ATGAGGGTCCCTGGGAAGAGGTGGGCGGGGCCTTGCTTGGGATTGATTTTATTTTACATGTTTTCTGTGATCTCATGCACTGTAAGTATGATATACCACACCCCTGCAAGTGGGAAATAAAGCTGGCTCTTTGCTGTGGACCAACATTCACGAGAATAAGACCACTGACTCCAATTAGGTCTTCAACAGCGAGCGAGGACTTGTTGAGCTGGCCAGCGACTACAGTTACAGCACCCTGCCTGCCGAAGCAGAGGCTGAACTGCAGTGCCTACTGCAGGAGTTACATTTTATTATTAAATTCTGTGGAGGCCCAGAGAAAAATGTGTCTTTCCAATTCTGGGCCTCTCTTTATTTATACTTTTTCCAGTCCTTTGTCTCCCAAATTTGGAATGAGACATCCGGGCCTTCTGAGAAAGAAGGCCTGTGTGCTGGGAAGGGGCCATGAGACCATATCTCAAGGCCTGGCCTGATGTCAGTACCTTCCTATCTACGTGTTTTAGGAACAGACAGCACAGCATGACCCGTCTGGCCAAAGCACCAGATATGCAGCCCAGCACATCTTCAGAGAGAGAAAAAAAGAAAAAGAAAAAAATGAGCCAGAACCGGTTTGGCTCAGTGGATAGAGCGTCGGCCTGCGGACTCAAGGGTCCCAGGTTCGATTCCTGTCAAGGGCATGTACCTTGGTTGCGGGCACATCCCCAGTAGGGCGCGTGCAGGAGGCAGCTGATCGATGTTTCTCTCTCATCGATGTTTCTAACTCTCTATCCTTCTCCCTTCCTCTCTGTAAAAAAATCAATAAAAATATATTAAAAAACAAAAAAACAAAACTGATGTTGAGATCCCACCCACCAAAACTGCAAGGGAGCAAATTCCCGTTGTTGTTTAGCCACTGGGTTTGTGGGCATTTGTCACAGCAGCTGCTGGACGCTAATACAGATGGTCGGTTCAGTGAATGGATCCATGGAAAGTGGATGGCTCATCTGACCGACGGATTGCAGGGTTGGTGGGAAGAGGGAACCAACAGAATGAATTAAAGAAGGAAAGAACGGGGGTGGAGGAGAGAATAGTTCGATGGATGGACAGAGCCTTGGAGAGCCGGGGGGTGAACTGAATACACGATGATTGAATGGAGAGGCGGGGAGAGCGGGTGAGGTGGGTGGCTGAAATGCTACTTGGATGAATGCATACAGACACAACACACCCTCAGACGATGTGATCCTGGAGAGCCGCCCGAGTGGAACGGGCTCCCCCCGGCTCGGCTCTCTCCTGCTGTGAGAAAGAATTCAGATGAGTGACAGAAAGCGGTGTTGAAATAAAGCAAGAGATTTTTTAAAATATATATTTTATTTATTTTTTACAGAGAGGAAGGGAGAGGGAGAGGGAGTTAGAAACATCGATGAGAGAGAAACATCGATCAGCTGCCTCCTGCACGCGCCCTACTGGGGATGTGCCCGCAACCAAGGTCCATGCCCTTGGCCGGAATCGAACCTGGGACCCTTCAGTCCGCAGGCCGATGCTCTATCCACTGAGCCAAACTGGTCAGGGCTAAAGCAATAGATTTTGACTAAGGAAGCAAAGCAAGCAGGTTTATTAAAAATACGCTTGGCGCCCGGCTGGCGTGGCTCGGTGGGTGAGCGTCTGTCTATGACCCAGGAGGTCACGGTTCGATTCCCGGTCAGGGCACAGGCCCGGGTTGCAGGCTCCATCCCATGGGGGGTCATGCAGGAGGCAGCCGATCAATGATTCTCTCACCGTTGATGTTTCTGTCTCTCTCCCTTCTCTCTGGAATCACATAACACAACATCCACCACTCCCACCGCGAGAAGGTGTGTGATTCCGTGACCTCTCTCTAGGGGACACGGTGACACGGTGACACGGTGACAGGGTCCTGCCACTGTCACTTCTACCTGCTTCGACACCATTGTCATCTCCCCAGAGGAAGTGACTAAGCAGTCACGGCCGGCTTCCCCCAGCCCCGGGCAGCCAGCTGCCTGCTTTCTGTTTCTCCGGCCATGGCCACGTGGGAAATCGTAGCGCTTCATCGGCCCAGGGGTGGGGTGGGCTTTTGCATAGCTGAGCTGGTCTCCCTGTCCAGGCGGCTGACCTATGTCCCAGTCCGAAGGCTTTTCCCTGCCTGTCCCTGCTCCCTCCCCCCCTTTATCTTCCTCTGGCATCTTTCCCAAGAAATTCCTCCATCTCTTCCTGGAGGACCTCAGGACAGGGCAAGCCGGTGAGGTCCAGGTGTGGGCAGAGCAGGGCAGCCCGCACGCCCCCAGGTGGCTCCTTGGCGGTATTGAGCGTCGCCTGGAGGACCCGGGGATGGGCACAGCTGGCTTTAGAGAGAACGTCTCGCCTGGACAAGTCCACAGCCACAGAGGGCAGTGAGGAGTGGCCAGGGGCTGGGGGGAGGGGGGGATGGGGAGGGGCCTGCTCCAGGGGTACCAGGCCGCCTTCTGGGGAGATGAAAAAGCTCTGGGACTGGATGGAGGGGAGGTGAGGTTGAACAACAATGGGAAGTCCTAAATGCCACGGAATTGTCTATTCCAAAATGGCTAATTTTATGTTTTGTGAATTGTGTCCCAATTTTCAAAAGGAGCGGGTGGGTACTGAGGGAGGAGGAGCTGGGGGCCTGGACTCCTGGGTCTGAGGGAGGAGGGGCTGGGGGCCTGGACTCCTGGGTCTGAGGGAGGAGGGGCTGGGGGCCTGGACTCCTGGGTCTGAGGGAGGAGGGGCTGGGGGCCTGGACTCCTGGGTGTGAGGGAGGAGGGGCTGGGGGCCTGGACTCCTGGGTGTGAGGGAGGAGGGGCTGGGGGCCTGGACCCCTGGGTCTGAGGGAGGAGGGGCTGGGGGCCCGGGCTCCTGTGTTAACGTAAAAAAAAACACATTGAAACCTGTAAAGAATTTTTGGTGAGTTTATTTGAGCCAAACTGTCGACATACGCCGGGAAGCAGAACCTCAACGAATTGAGATAGTGCTCCGGAGAATGGCGGGGTTACATTTGTATTTATACATTTGCAATCAAAGGAGGAACATAGGTGGGTTACATGAAATTCATTGGTGACAGATTAAGGAGGAGGGATAAAGCAAAGCAGGGAAACCCTTGGGATTGGATATAAAGTAAAATGATGGACACACACTGAGGTGGGTGCAGGAACAATTAACATGATGATGGGGGTAGGGGAAGCCGGGGTATTGTCAAGGGCGGGGGGAAAAAAGGGACACATATGTAATACCCTTTGTAATGCTTTAAGCAATAAAAAAAAAAACACACAAAAAAACCCAAAAAAAAAACAACAAAAAAAAACATGATGATGAAGGAATCTGTGGTATCTGTCCTGGGACCCAGCACACCTGGTTGTGCCCCAGGTGCTCCAGATACAGGGAAGTCACAAGTTACCCAGACATTTCACAGGGATGTTATCAGAGATGCAAAAAGACAGACAGGCTCAGTGAAGGTAAAGGTTGACCCGGTCAGCGAAGATACTGGCCCAGGACGTAACTGCCCACCATCACTGCTTTTAGTTAAAGTTTAATTTCAGACCGTCCTTTGTGGTGACTTGAGGTCTCTGAGTTTGCAAGACCGCCATGCAGGCCTCCCCTGAGCTGGTCAGGTCAGCATGTGGCCCCTTTTGTCCACAGCTGGGTCTGAGGGAGGAGGGGCTGGGGGCCTGGACTCCTGGGTCTGAGGGAGGA